GACTTCTAAGATTAATCGCCCCCAAAACCCCAAAACCCCGATAGCAAATATTCGAAATAGATATTACTTAAAACATCTAATCAATATTATCAAAACAAACAAAGAAATAATTATATTAATTTCAGTCACATTGCCCTAACTGTCTTATAGTCTTTGACTCTGTGAATGATAAATACTCTTTAGGTTAACATTTGCCTCCGTTCATAAATCTTTTACTTGATATCCCTCTACTACACTTTCCTTATTTTACTCTGACTCTTCAATCATCAGATTAAAATCTATTATCTAGCCATCATCTTCCTTATCTTTTTGGTTATTTTTCATGATGCTGACTAGCTCTTCTATCATCTGCTCAAGTATAAGATCAGCAACATCAATCTTAGTTTGAGTCTCTTCATACTCGTAGTCAGTCCAGAGTGGTTCATTCTCCTCTGCCTCCTATATCAGGATTCTAGCTAGTCTTTCCTCTCTCATTAGTTCTAAATGATCTCTATCCCTTTGGGAGATTTGCTTAGCCTTAAAGATTTTAGGCATTGTGCCGGCTGAAATGTGTGCCCAGTCTAGCACTCTAAACTTAACTTTTTGCAATAAATAGTCAAAAGTCTCCTCCTTTCCAAACTTGAAAGTCAGAGTCTTGCTGTTCTTACTCCAAGGCAGAGGTGGTCCTCTTAGACCATATGGTCTAAACCCATCCATCGCTTCATTTACTGCATCAAATATTGCCTTGTTATGAATGTTTTCCATTTCATTTACGAAACTTTAAGAGTTTGAATCATCTCCATGGAATGAGTCTTTCATTTGGGATATGGATAATCCTCCTCTTCTGTCTTTTTCAATGTCGAGGTAGAGATCTACTGATAGCACTGACTACTAGAAGGGAATCGCTGATTCAAAAGGTTGTTAAGGATTTTCAGAGTCTTCATTTTCCGAATTCAAAGCAGGAAGTTCTGGTATCGAATTCTATAAGTGAGCGAGAATCATTAGTGGATCTTTATAAAGAGGCTAACTAATGTTTTCTAAGACACTTGATAATGCAGTTTTGTCTACTTTTAGTCTATCAAATATCTCCTACATATAAACATTAACTTGTTTGATCCCTGTTTCAATTCCCTTTTTAGATGGACTTTCATGAGGTTCTAAAATTTCTTTTTCATCTATTATTGGAGATTTTTCTAGATCACTTGGCATTGGAAAGTAGTCTAATATTTTGGGATCGTTTATATCATTAACAGCCTCAGGTGAGTTTCTGGAACTCGCTGATCTATCCCCATCCTCAATTATTTATATTTTTGGCTACTGGCTAATTTGATTCTGAGAATTATCCAATTCCTCCAATATATTATCAAGAACCTTTATTTGATCCTACAAATCTGGAGATATTCCTAGAATTGTGGCTTAACTAGTTTACTCTGACCCCTTTGGACTTTTTCTTTGGTCCTTGTCTTTGTTTACTTATAAATCTATTCTTCTTACTTCGACTTATTGTTGGAGAGACGCTGGTTTTTGCTAAGCAAAGAGTTTACTTAAAGCTCTTCTTGGAAATAATCTTTCCCTAATATCCCGAAGTAGCACATTTTCTAAGATTTCCTCCACCAAAAGATCAACCTTGATTTGTTCTTATTTCTCAATGTCCTCAATGGATTTTATTTATGCAGGAAAGGAAAGTTTTCCATCATCATTTTACTGATAAAGTGGAGTATCACTTAACTAATACTGATTGTTGCTTGATTCTCCCATTGAATTTCCTGATAAAGGGAAACTTAGCTTTTGCTAAGAAATTTAGGAAGCTAAGTTATCATTGTTTTGAGCTTAAGCTTCTAATGCATTTATATTAAGTTGTCCTTTGGCAGGGGATAAATCTTCCAATCCAGAGAAATCATTAACATTTTCATTCTAAGAATTCTTTTTGTTAAGGATGTCAAAAATAGGTGAGCTGTTCTTATGTGATAAAGCTAAATCAGAGAGTTTGTTGGAATTAATTTCAAGCAGCTAAATTTCATCTTAGGAATCATCTTCATTCTTAGGAGCATTATTTTATGAATCAATATCATATTTGGTGTTGTAATCAAAAAGCTTTAGCTTACTATGTTCTTCATCAATCTAGTATAGTGGTTAAATATCATCCTTGTTATTATTCTAAGATTAATTTTATGGTATTTCATTTTTTGGCTGATTGACATTTGCTGTAGCAAAAGATGAGGCAAGTCCACTTGAAAGTCTTCTACCACTCACAGTATTGTATCCATCACTTGGCTCTTTATTACTGTTATCCCCAAAAAGATTTTACTAAACTTCATCATACTATTTCTGCATCTCGCTGTCAAATGAGTGCGATCTTCTTACAGCCGAGTTTTGATTCACATTGGTTATATTCATAGAGTTGTTTTACTATAGAATGCCTGAGTTGCCTTTCTTTCTAATGGAGCTAACTGCATCTTTCATTCTATCCTGTTCCTTTGAAAAATTCTCCATCAGACTTGAAAGTCTCATAAATCCCATACAACCTTATTTGAAGTGCTTTTTAGTGAGATTTATTTCTCTTTTTTCCTTTTCAACCCATTTCTCAAGTTCCCCTTTCTTTTTGTTATATGTTCTTACCGACAGTTCTCCATCTTTGAGTTCCTATTTCTTTATCTTGACTTTTTGCTTTAAGGCTTTATTGAGATCTTTGATCATTTGCTCAATTTCATTTTCTACCTTGAAAACATTTACTTGCTTGTCTCTTTGGAATATTTAGAATGAATTCTTCTCAAAAATTGAAGTATTATTAATGCTCACTGAATCATCTTTTCTTTATTTCTAGCTTCCCGATATGTAAGTTTAATGCTAGTTTGATGGTGATAAGTCGTCAATGTTTATAGCAGGACTTCTTTCATCCATCGTTATGACTGATCCAAAATTATTGCTTAAAGATGACGGGATCTTCTGAAGTAAATCTTTAGTAGTTTGCTTAATCCTCATATCATCTTCACCAAGAGTTACTTTGTTACTAATAGAGTTATCTTTTTATTTCATTTTAGAAGACCTAGTATTGCTTCTATTCTTAGACATCTTCTCCTCTTCACCATAGTTGATCAGGGAACTTATGTCTAATTGTTATTACTTTTTGTTATATATCTAAGATTATGATGATTATGACCTATCTTCGACTGATGAGTTCCCTCTTTCCCTCATTTGGATGGCATCTCTTTTTGCATTAGCCTCCTCGACTTTAGTTTATGGCCTTGGAGGGATCATTCTCTTCAAATTCATCTTTATCCTAGGAGAGTTATTAGTTGATATTTTATTAAGAGAAAGATCATTAAGCTTTAAAGGTGAGTCTAGATAATCTGCATGCTGCTTCATTAGTGAATCCTCATTCTCTTGAATAATACTAGATTGCTTATCTCCATAGAAATTTATTTTGTTTTACTTTATCTAGTTATTGTATACTACAATATTTTCATCCGTATTTTTACTAATGAAAGGCGATTCTTCTTGAATAGGCATTAGTGACCTCTATGAGTTATCATCATTCATAAAGCTTCTATCTGACTATCTCTCATTTTCTCGAGGCTCCTCTCTTATAAAATTGTTGAATAAAGGCTTAGATTCCTTAAGCTCTCTCACAATAACAGGTATTGTAGTTAATTCACTTTCTTTCATCAGGTTAACATTTATTTGGCTATCTTAGAATTATAACTTGGTTGGTTAATAATCAAATACTGCCTTCATTTGATTCTATATTTGGCTATCTTTTGGCTCACTTTATTCCTCAATAGATGGACTTTTGAATACTGATGCCATTCCTCCATTACCAAGGTCATCAAACTTATAAAACTGTTCGCTTTGGTTTTGATTGTTTTAAAATGTCTACATATATGATTCAAGTGATTCCTGGCTTTGAGATTTGAATATTTCATGCTGCTGTTATTACTATAAAATTTATTGCTAATGTTATTACTCCAATATAAGCTTTTACTACTATTATTACTATTGTAATTTTATAAGTGCGAAATTGGAGAGTTAGTTGCTGTTATCATAAAGTTAATCATAAAATGGGCTCCAAGGTTTAGTTTTTTAAGTCCCGAATTTGAATTAGTTTGACTATTACAGGCCCTTGCTTTGACTGAATGCAAGGCTTGACAATGTTTAGTTAGAAGTTGGATTGCTCTTAACTTCATATTTCTATCTAAGCATTCTAAATTCTCTGTCAATCCTAAGTTTTTCCTTCATAATTTTTCTAAAAATGAATCCTCTGTAGCACTTCTAAATATAAGTGGCAGCTTCATTGAGCTTGTCATTAGATACTTCTCTCACTCTATCTTCAATAGAATACATCTTTTTCAATAACATGGTGGTGTTGTTATTGTTATTCTTAATGCTGTTGTCTTCATTGATAGGCATAGTATTCTAGTCATCGTCCTCAGTTTTTCTAATAATTTGAGAAACGTCCTCGCCCATACTGAGGATTTAAGGTATTCTATTCATGTCAGACTACGACTGCTCAGTGTCTATTTTCCTTTGAGTTTATGGACTGGCATATGAGGTGATTTCAATATCTTTAGACTCTTCTTCTTGAATGACATTGCTATTGTTTCCACTAAGCATTATTGTCTGTTGAGATGACTTTGGATTGCTGATATTGTTACTTATTTGCTGAGTGTTTGTCTAGTAAGATGAGACTTGGTTGGAAGAAGGCTGGCTTTAACTGTTATTATTTTGTCTTTATTTAAAATTATTTTGAATTTTTTCTTGGACTTACTAGATTTTCTCAATTATCTAGTGCTTTGATTATTGTATTCTTTACTCTTGCATTATTTGGTAGTTCATCAAAAGCTAATTATTTTCTTAGTATTGCAAGTTATTATCATTCTGGATCTGCTACTGCAGATTCTATTGTAATGGTGGGTATTCAGTAGCATTTGACTACTTCCTCTACTGATTATATTGCTATTTAAGAAACGGCATCTAGCCTACTTTTAACGGTAAATTAGATGTCTTAGGTCTCTTCTTAGAACTACTTTTCTTCTTTTTCATGGGCAGGCCAACAACAGCTTCTAGCAAATTAATGTTTTGAGTTTCTCCTTTCTTGTCTTTGACTTACTTTTCCAGCTCCTTTCTAATTCTAGCAAACTCAGAAAACATCTTCACTGCCTAGTCTGATTTCAGATCCAATAAAGGTTTGTTACCAATTTAATTTTAGCGCAGAGAATTCTAAACAGATTTAAGTGATTTGACATCTTAGAGCTACTTTTAAGAGTTATTATTTAATAAGTTGGGCTTTTGTAATGCCACTCTCATAGATAAAGGAACTTAGTTCTAATATTAAATTGCAGTAAACTAGTTTTCAAGCTAATTGAACTGATGCAGATCTTACTAGGAGTATGTGTTTTGACCAGTATTTGTATTTAATGTGTTCATTGTAAACTGAGATATCAATGATTCTCTGTCTCTAATTCTTAAGTCTTTAGCAGTTTAAGTTAACTAATAATCTGTGGTGTGCTAAGAAGGACTGTAACTGTTTTAGCTTCTTGCATCATTCTGGAATACTGGACCTTCATATGACCTTAGCATTTAATATTACTCTGGAGACTAAAATGACTGTCTAAATTAGACATTGATTTATGGTGATTTAGTTAACACAGGCATGCTATTTCTTTGCATATTCAGATTATACTCGATCTTTTATCTTTATGGTGACATTAAAGCCTGCTGTTTTTGCAATTATATTAACTCAGCTATGTTTAACTATGGCTTCTTGCTTGATGCTCTCTTTGACTTCTTTCTCTTCTTTGATGTCCCTCTCTTTTTTTCCAAAGGATTTTTCTCGTTGTTAATAACTCTCTACTTTTCCTTGTACTCTTACAATCCTTTAAAATAATCATGCTGCAAATTTGTTAATTAAGATTTTAGTTTAATAAGCTTCTTAGACTCTTACTTATCCTTTTATTTCTACTCCTTCAGTCTCTTTGATTTTTGCTCTTTTAAATAATTCTCAATAGATTGATGCCTATTTTCACTAGCTGCTTAGTCAGTGCTTTCAGTTTTAAGTTAATAATTATTTTTCTAGAATGGGAAATATTCATAATGCTATCCATTTATCTTGATCTTTTTGCTTGGACTAATGTAAGGTGAATTACTAGTGCTTCCTTTCTTTGGCGGAGATAAGCTATTACTTCCTTTTTTCTATTTATTTACTAGTTGCAATTAATTTGATAACTACTAAGTTTTGTTGGCTTAAACTTAATTTAATGTCTTAGAATCAATTATACCCTTGGATTGCTTTCTCTTGTGCTTCATTATTTAATCCAAGTTATCTAATTCTGGGTCGAAATTTAAAATATCGTGGTTAGCTCTACTATCTCTTTCATCAACACTTTCAATTCTTATTATATTCTATAGATTTGGCTGGCTTTAAGGCATATTTAGCTTTTTCCGCAATGGAGAGTTGCTCATTGATTTCTTAAGAATCTCAAAGCACATTTGATTTTCTTTTCGCTCATCCTCTCTTCTTTTTTTCAATGCCAACCTTTGAAATTTCTAATCCTCATATTCCTATCTCTATTTTTAGACTTCATTTTGGAGATCAAGACTCTATTTAAGATTGATTGTTTGTTACTATTAAGCTGATTATTAAATGGTATTTAGCTTCTTTTGCCTTATTTTTTATCTCATATCAAATGGCATTACACTTGCCAAATGTTTCTACTACTTGTCTTTCTATTCATTCATTTCCTTTTCAAGTCTCTTTTTAACTTGCTTTTTTACCTCTTGTTTTAATTTTTATATGATATCCCCAGTAAATAATTAATCTGTAGATATTTAAGCTGGCAAAATTTTTGGCTTAGTTTTAAGGTTACTGCTCTTTTGCTTAGACTTTTAATTACTATTGTAATGAATATTTTCTTTGTCTTCATTAGGGGATTTGAAGAAATCTCTTGGCTAGAAAGCCTGAATGTTACTTTGAAGCGATTGCTTCTTATGAAACTTATTAGAACTTTAGGTTGAGATGAATCTCTGCGACTAGGTTAATTAATTGATGTCCTTAGTGTGAATCTTAGGTGAGAACATACTTTAAAGTTCAAAATTTTGTGTTATCGTTTAAGTAAAATCATTATCTAGGGACTCTTGGGTATTCTTTATAGTAGATAGCTGCTTGTTGTTTTGAAATGGTGAATCAATAGATCTTTTACTCAGCACTACTTACTTTGAATATATTTCACCTGGCGACAAAGTATTGAATGGATGGTTCTGAGATCTCTAAAGATTTTTTGCTTGACTGCTTTTGCTCTTTTGTCTGAGCTTGGACTATTCTTTGTGTCTTTTATACTTAGACTAAGTTTTTTATTTTAATTCTTCTTCTCTTTCATTTGAAAATTCATCTCTTCTAGAAACTTACTAATCTTCAGGCTTAGATAATTAAGAAGACATAGGCCTTCTTTTAAAGTTATTTGTCTGAGATAGTTATTGCTAGTGCTAGCTGCTGATTGGCTAACCACTTCCAATTCTCTTCTAGGATTTTTAAGTTTATAACATAAATTCATCAGTATAACTTTCTTGATTCAAATGCACTTTGTCTGTCTAATATTGGATATTGTTATTGGGATAATTAAATATATTGCTTTCTTGATTTTGAGTCAAGTTATCAAGTTTAGTTCTAAGATGAGAAGAGCTTTAGCTATGTCCTGAAAAGTAGTTAATTTACTATGGAGAGGCTACATTATGATTGCTATTTGGCTTTTGTTTTTTGGAGAAGTTCTTATTAAATTTTCTATTAATTTAAGATTATGCTGATTTAGGTTTATAAGGAATGGCTGCAGCTTGAATTTACTTTGCTTTTAAATTGATTTTATTTTACTAGTGATTGATTTCTGCAGATTGCAAATGATGTTACCTTCCACTTAATAGATTCAATAAGATGCCTAAATTAAATTATAGTAGAATTTATACTGTTATCAATTTATGAGATGGAGTTTTTGTCTCCAACATTTACTCCTATATTATCCTTTTCAATCTTTTTGCATTAAAACATCTGACTCTGAGCTTATGTATGCTAGACAGGGTAGTCATACTATTTAAAAGCATTTTGCTTCATGTTTATGAGTGGGTTCTGGGTTTGCTTTTGGATTGTGGAGTTAATTTGCAGAGGCATGTTAAGACTGCTGAGCACTGCACTCATTTAGTTGTTGCCTTTCATTTCACTTTAAATATTTAAATTCAAATATATACCTGTTTCATTTCAATCTCATCCTATTTGCAAGTATGGGGTTTTGGGGTTTTGGGGTTTTGGGG